GACAGATTAGAGGATTGGGCCAAAAGAAATCTGATGCGGTTCAACAAGGACAAGTGTAGAGTCCTGCACTTGGGACAGAAGAATCCGAAGCATTGTTACAGGCTGGGGACCGAATGACTAAGTAGCAGTTCAGCAGAAAAGAACCTGGGGATTATAGTGGATGAGAAGCCGGATATGAGTCAACAGTGTGCCCTTGTAGCCAAAAAGGCTAATGGCATACTAGGGTGCATTAGGAGCATTGCCAGCAGATCCAGAGAAGTGATTATTCCCCTTTATTCAGTTCTGGTGAGGCCACATCTGAAGTATTGTGTCCATTTCTGGGCCCCCCCACTACAGAAAGGATGTGGATGCATTGGAGAGGGTCCAGCAGCAGGCGACAAAAATGATTAGGGGGCTGGAGCGCATGACCTATGAGGATAGACTGAGGGATTTGGGTTTGTTTAGTCTGCAGAATTGAAAAGTGAGGGGGGATCTGATAGCAGCCTTCAACTTCCTGAAGGGAGGTTCCAAAGAGGCTGGAAAAAGGATGTTCTCAATAGTGACGGATGGCAGAACAAGGAGTAATGGCCTCAAGATACAGTGGGAGAGGTCTATGTTGGATATTAGGAAAAACTATTTCACTAGGAGGGTAGTGAAGTATTGGAATGAGTTACCTAGGGAGGTGGTGGAATCTCCATCCCTAGAGGTTTTTAAGTCTCAGCTTGACAAAGCCCTGGCTGGGTTGATTTAGATAGGATTGGTCCTGCCTTGGGCAGGGGGATGGACTTGATGACCTCCCGAGGTCTCTTCCAGCTCTTTGATCTTACAAAAGACATGAAACTGAGTCCTCACCCTGACACTCCCATATCCTCATGGTGGGTGTCTCCCCTAATATCTGTGCTTTTGCAGTGGGATCCCACCTCCCTCACTACCACCCCCACTAACATCCATGCTCTTGTCCTGGGATTCCCTGCCCCTGAAAGCAAAACCCACTGGCCTCGCCTGTTGGCAGCTGAAGCATGTCTGCTTGGGCAGCTCCCTAGCCACCATGGTTAACATGGTGGCAGAGGCAGCCAGCATGGCTTCCCTGATCAAGCGGCACCTTCTGCAGCCAGAACTTTGCAGGCACCGGGTGCTTGGGTACTGTTGGCAGCAATGTGCCTGAGTGAGTCCCTGCATGCTGGCCACCACTCTTTGTTCCCATACTGGTGGCCACACGAACCTGATTAAATAACTTTTTCAAAATATTTCATGGGCTGGATTAGGGAAGCATATAGGCTACAAGTGGCCCACTGATGAGGAATTTGAGACTCCTGCCTTAGGACAATAGCATTTATCCCATGGAAAAGCTTTTATTTAACTGAAACAGCTAATAGCACAAGACACCTCATCCTTCTTCCCAAAAATCAGGCATCTTAACACTCTCTTTAGAAGATACAATACCCCTTTAACGTGCTCCTTCTTGAGTTCCCACTGCACTTGAATACCCCTCTTCAAGGTCACCTGAAAGCTAGAAACTGTATAATTTGCAGATCCTTAGGCCCCTTTGCTAGTCTGGTGACATATTATCAAAATAGCACTTATAAATGGACTTGGTAGTATGTATCCAATGCCCTCTACTGGACAAAATATTACTTGAGTGTGAAGTCTTAATACAGCCTCAAGTGGTACATACTGCAGCTGAAGATCCTACATATTTTCACTGCCAAATTGTCAAATAAGAATCAGAATGTGTGCTGAACATCCCTCTCCCCCAGGCCTGGCTATATACCCTTTTTAAAAAAGTGTCCCACTGATTCTCATACCAGTGATAGAGTTACTATGGACAAAGCATAGGTCTTTTAGCTACTGTGCATCTAGAGCTGTTTTCAGCACATATAAATGATCATTATTAAGATGCCTGTGCCCCATGGATACTATAGGTTGAAATTCTCAGCTGTGTCTACACTGGTGCGAGAAGTACACTGTTCTTGTGCAAGAGGCCACTGTAGACAGGCAACATAAGTTTCTTGCGCAAGAAAGCCCTATGGTTAAAATGGCCATCAGAGCTTTCTTGTGCAAGAGAGAGTTTACACTGGCATGGATGCTCTTATGCAAAAGCACATGCCAGTGTAGACGCTCTCTTCTGGAAGAGTTTTTGCACAAGAACTCTTCCACAAAAGAGTTCTTGCGGAAGAAGCTGCCAGTGTAGACGTAGCCCTCTAGCCCAGCATTCTATGGTCCAGCAAAATCCTTGGTCTGGTATGATTTTAGTTATTGAGTTATCTGCTTATCAGGAGAGTAGCTAAGTTTCCTACAGTCCCGTAAAGTTTATTTCCACCACCAGTCCGGACTCTGTGTGCATGAAAGAAGGGAATTAATTGACATGAACAGTTATTTTTTTAAGTAGAAATTATTTCCATAGATCCTCCCAACAATTCCTCAGTAACTTCCAGATCTTCCAGGAAAGATATTATGAACAAGTTCTTGAAGATCAGACTCTGATCTGTCAGTTTGTTCGGTCACACGTTTTATAGTCCATCTGTTTTCTTTAGATGATAGCTGTGCGAAACACCAGAGAATTTACTTCAGAGACACTACAGTAGCTGATGTTTATTTTTTATATTTCTGGTAAGTTAACATTTTTCATCTTTCACTATATCCCAATATTGCCTTTAATTACTTCTTGTCAGCAGATTTTCAAGTTATCCCTTCCGGCTGGTCTCTCCCAGATTCTTCATTTGACAACACTCCAGTCATGATACACTGCAGAAAGAGGTATCAAAATGGGAAAGCAGTTACTTTTATTTTAAATGTCATCAAAACGAGCTGGGCTGCTATAATATATGGTCAATGGCTAACTTAATCATTTTAAAATCATCACAGAAACATGACAAGAATATACCTCTTCTCTACGTTGAAAGATTTAATTTTGTATATATTCCCAACAAAAGTACACAATTTCACAACACTTATCAATTTTCTGTCCAAATCTTTGAATTGTTCTTATTCAGTTACATGCCACTAGAAGTTTTACCTGTTGTTGCTCGAGTCCTTAATTTTTGTTCTTTGGAAAAGAAAATGTAAATCATTGTCCTGGGCTCGAGGGAGGAGGGGGTCAGTATATTGGCTGCTCCTCACTGCCGCATGCATATAGGGAAAGTGATAGAACTCACCTGAACTGTCTTCCCCAGGTTTATCCAAGCCCTGGGAAACATCCTGGGACAGTGGAAACTGGCTCCAGTCAGATGACAATCTCCTGGCTGGCAGGTATGATGTCCAGATCGGCCTTCTCCTCCTCCACAACCCCACCCTCATGGAGGCTGACACCAGGGGAGTCCTGTCTGGAGTCAAGGACGAGGGGGGGGAGAAGGTGACCGGTCCCTCTCCCAGGATAGCATCTAGCTGCTTGTAGTAGTGGCACATGAGATGTGCTGCCCCAGAGCAGGAACTTTTCTGCCTGGCCTTGGTGTAGGCCTGCCAGAGTTCTTTTATTTTCATTTGCATGTAGTTCAGAGTGCACCTGTACATTAGTAGGAGCATTGCCAGCAGATCTGGGGAAGTGAATATTTCTCTTTATTCAGCACTGGTGAGAACACATCCGGAGTGTTGTGCCCAATTCTAGGCCCCCCATTACAGAAAGGATGTGGACGCATTGGAGAAAGTCTAGTAGAGGGCAAGAAAAGTGATTAAGAGAGCTGGAGCACGAGACTCATGGGGAGAGTCTGAGGGAATTGGGCTTATTTAGTCTACAGAATAGAAGAGTGAGGGGGGATTTGATAGCAATCTTTAAACTACCTGAAGGAAGGTTCCAAAGAGGCTGGAGAAAGGATGTTCTCAGTAGTGACAGACGGCAGAACAAGGAGCAATGGTCTCAAGTTACAGGGAGAGAGGTCTAGGTCGGCTATTAGGGAAAATGGTTTCACTAGGAAGGTGGTGACACACTGGAATGGGCTACTTAAGGAAGTGGTGGAATATCCATCCCTAGAATCCTGGCTTGACAGAGTCCTGGCTGGGATGATTTAGAGGAGACTGGTCCTGCAGGGGGTTGGACTCAATGACCTAATGGGGTCTTTCAACCCTATGAAGTGTGTGCTCCCTTTGTAAAGGTGGGATGACAGTGAGACTTTCATCTCCTATTTGTAGGAGATCCATGCTAAGGGACAAACCAATAGCTAGAATTTTACAGCTAGCAGATCTTTAATTGTAAGCATCATTCTGATTCTTCTAAGAACTGCCTCCTCATTTCTACCGAGAGTTCCTTGCAATAGGACCTTCTAAGGCTCTTTCTTGTGGCACTAAGGTATTTAAAGGCCTATCATACAGAGACTACCAAAATCCACATTACTTTCCCAAAATACAAGTAACATCACCACCAAGGTTACAGGCTCATTGGAAAAATACTCGTGTGACTAGACTTGGGACCATGCCCTCCACTACATGCCTGCTGGTTTAGATCTTGCAGCATGCTGCATAATCTGACTGCCTTATTTCTAAAGAACTGCCCCTTTAACAAGATCTAGCCAGCCAGTGATATTCATTGCTAAATTAAAATACTATGACAATTTTTATATTGATTTTTTAAAAATAAAGTCTGCATTTTATTACCAATCATTAAAGTTATCAATGTTAACTGGGCATGCCAAACCTCACAATTCAGGGTCTGATGTGAACATCACAGGGTCAGGTAGAACTTCAACTGTTTCATCCCACCCTCAAAAACATCTGCTACTAAGCACAGAAATCGCAATAGACCCATGAATTGGAAATCCTAGTTATTCCCTCTATTCTTATTTTTGTCATTCTGCAAGAAATGACTGGTGAAATTATATAATTTGTTCAAGCATCTCCTTTCGAACTGCAGTTCGAAAGTGTCACCACATTAAGCACTGTTGGGAATGGACAGGACCTAACAGAATGTATAATGGAAATATTTCCATTAAAGAATATCCTTTAACTAGAAAAAAAAATACAGTAAACATATCTTGACTGTTTTCAACATCTGATAACAATATTCTTATCCTGGAAATAAAATGTAAAAGTTTTCATACACACAACCACCTTTATTGAGCATTTCACTGTTCAAAATAGATTCAATTTGACATCTTAAATTGCTGAATTACAATCCAGTTTAATCTTTCATTAAAAAGGAAGCAAAAATTAAATTTTGCTTACATAAAAAAGTATTACATCTGTGAGGTGTACAATTATGTTACTGTTAATAAAGCCAGGGTGTGGTCAAATAATCACTACTGTAATGCTGATGTCTTACAAATTTCAAAGCCAAAAATGTTCTTTCCAATGGAATTATCCATCGGAAAAAAGGAACAGTGAGTTTTCTCTTAAAGCTGAACAGCTGGAAAGTGTATTTTCTATTCCCTAGTTCTACACCAGGCAAACACTTCACAAAAGCTATGAGGCAGCAAAATATTTTCATTTAAATCATGTAAAAAAATCTGAAATTTTAGGCACAAGCTAAATTTCAGAGAGTACTGTTTGCATATGACCTAAATGCAGTAGCCTCAATACAGCAAAAGTTTTTTAGACATTCTGTATATAGATACAAAGTCATAGGTCATGACCTTGTATTGGGCATCATGCAGGCAAACCTCTGTGTCCAATGTTTTTAGTGAGGCTTAGCCTGTGCAGTTCCTAGTGTAAGAACAAAGCCTTGTAGCCCTACATCTTGGCTGCCCTAGATTTAGTGAAGTTTGGGTTGACTGTTTAAGAACAGTTTTATAGATATAAGAAGCTAATGTACAGATTTAATTTTTAAAAAGGCTACTCACTGTCAAATCTATGCTCAGGAAGAGGAAAAAAAAATCTGAATATTTGTAATACCGTGAATCATATTTGAAGAAGAAATCTTCCTAGGCGGGAGTCTGTATTACTTTATAAAGATGCCAGCAGAGAAGATTTTGCAACCTTACTTTGAAATTTAATGCTGGTTTCCACTCAAGCCAATTAACATTGCTTTGTCTACAGTGTCACCAGAGATGTTCTGCTACAATGGAACTACCCTGATAAAAGCACACTTAAGCAGAGTAGTTGGTATAAATGGGACACTGTAGTAAACTTGCATAATCATTTCCAAAAAAGCTTAAGCCAATATGAGAGGATGAATTTCTCAATGGTATTTGAGAGAAAGAGGAAATGGCATTGTAGATGCAAGAGCTAAAACTAATTACAGAAAATAAACTTTCAGCAGCATGGCTAGGAAAACATTTCTAAGAAAGAAAGTAAGTCAGCTTTTCAGTTATTTCCTCTTTTGTAAAAAATGTAATTTTAGCAAGAATTTCATCACTGTATTACAAAATACAGCACTGTTCTCTTCATGAGGTTAACATTTACAATATGTTCTTTAGCAGCCCACAATTGCATTTTCTATGAAAGCTAGGGAAAAAAAGAGTTCAGCTTGTAGGAGATTTTAATTTATGGTTAAACACAACTCACATTCCTACAAAACAGTCCTAATGTAGAAAGCAAGCCTTTAAAATAGGATCACAGAAGTTAGAAGAACAGGAAGCCCCTAAACAATAAAGAAATAACTGCAGATGTCACCAATTGGCAAAAGTGAATGGGGTTGAGTAAAAAGATGAGGAATTAGTCCTTTGTGGAACTCCCATCTAATCTGAGTTCTGGTTTGAAATGTGTAAAAATCAAGTTTTCTAAAAGCTAAAGCAGATTTCTTACAACAAGGTTCTCTCCGCTAAGGACACAAGCAGATTTTAGTAAGGTTGATAAAGTTACTTTATTAAAAAAAAAAAAGGTTATCTTTTAATGAAATAATTTAGTTTAAGAAGAAATATAATGTATGTCAGAAAGGCATATGAGAAACTAACAAATGAAATGCTATCATTGTTCATATCCAAGCCCTGTCTTTCCTCTTGATTTCAATATACACAATCTCATCACTAGATTCTTCTTCATTAGCTACAACTCAATAGAGAAAACTATTCAGCCTGCACACAGATTACCAATGTCTTCCTTTAGGAAAAGTCTAGTTGAGGGGTAAGCACATACACATGAAGGCAGATTTCAAAAATAGAATAATGTTACCAATTTACTAGTAGAATTTTGCACAGTTTTAAAACTCAGGATAGAATACGTATACACACACAGCTTAGACCCATAAAATAAAGATGCCTGTCAATCAGCTCTGTGTTCTGGAAGTCTATAGCACAAAACCCACACCCACCCTAACCTCCCCACATTGTTTTTCAAAGATTACTTAAGCCAAATGTACATAGGACAAATGTTACAATCTTCCTTCCCCTCACCTACTTTCAGCTTTTTACAAGTTAATGACACCAGTTACTTCATAAATAAATGCCTTAATATTAAGAGACAGCTTATCATTGATGAATATCCTTATAGTGAGGAAAAGAAGTTGTCATGGTATGTATAAACAAGGGGGAGAAGATCTGTAGGTAGTAACAGGCTTTCAAACTTCCAAATGGCAGATAAAGAGAAAATGAAAGGTAATGAAATACATGGCAGTATACTATTGCAATTGGCAACTGTGTATTTCCTGCTGGCAGCAGCCACTTTCTTTGCAAAGTGCAGCATAAACTAGTTTTTGAATGGTTTCACAGCTGGGAATGTAATTACCAGGAGACCTAGAGAAGTAACATTGCCCCTAACAGATGGTTTAATGCTTCACCTTCCTACCTAGACTGTATAGAACAAGAAGGTTGAAAATTCTAAGTCCTCTCTAAGCTAGAGGGAGTGTGTCAGAAGATGGGATTTTTAACCATCTGAACAAGTCTTATTTTTTTTAAAAAGTGTGAATTTGATCATGAAATGTGCCAAATTAACAGAGCCAGAAAACAAAGTTTTCTATTTACCAACACATCATGCAGTACAGGCAACTGTGTACATGATTCCCCACAGTGCCAATCAATGTGCCATCTGTAGGGATCTGTTGCAGTGAGCAGGTTTTTAAATTTGCTGGCCTCACTGCTGCGACTGCTAACAAGGTTCTTACTATCAAATATGGTGGTGATTTTGTGATATGGATGCTTACCTCATAAGATTTGAACAGACATTACCAGCTCATTTTACAGAGGTCACCAGATCAGGTAGATGATGGCCTTTTGGTTGTTACTTTCCCAAGATGGTAGAATTGAAGTGATTTTTGTTCAACAGTGTTATTTACTAAGGCTTAAAGGGGAAAAAAACAGCAGGGGGAAAGACAGTTTGGATTTCAAAAACTGAAATAAAGGCATTTGTCTTCTGCAGAAAATCAGAATTGCAAAGCCAGAGAACTGAAAAGCATGTAGGTACAAGTTTAATTTTTCAACAGTGGTGATGGAGGTGAAGTAACATAAGACTACAGGCATGAACGCCCCACTCCACCTTTCTTATTTGAGAAAAAAAATTAGAAATTGAAATACTAGTCCATATCTCCATTTCTAACAGTTGCTGCTGTTCAAATAATTACCTACTTAGTAGGCTGCCAAAAGGCAGCACATAAAAAAGAACAACCACCAACATTGGTGGAGGATATTTGGATGTGCAGAATCAGGGTCTAAAAATGTAAAGTTACTTGTGCCTGTTTGCAATAGAGGAAAGATTTCAGGATTGGAGCCTTCAAGATCAGTATTTTGTGATAATCTTGACAATACTGAGGGGGATTAGTTGACACTACCTCCAAGGCAGAAAGGGAACACAACACTGCATGTCACATTTAACAACTAATCCAATTGCCTGGAGACTTCTGAGATTCTTTAGGAACCCACAGAGAAATGCTAGGGGACATCATTCAGAAATATTTTTACAGGTGGTAATCTGTATGTGTACATATGCCTGTTTAAAAATAATTACAACTGGCAACCATTTGTTCTGAAACAAACAGTACATTCTGTACTATTCGGTTATCTTTGCCATAGCTTTAGGGGAAACGGCACTGAAACACTGAAAAGTCCTACATGCACATGACATATGAGTGGACATCCACAGTGAAGGCATGAATCTCAAACCAGATGCAGAAAGATGTCCTGTCCAACATACACTTCTGTATACATCAAGAAGTGTTTTAAGGTCTTGTATTAGCTATCATTAAAATTGCAGACTCTGGAGTGTAAGTCACTTACAAAGAAAGAAATGGATATTGCCCAAGATTTAAAACCAAAACAATACCTTCCCCAACCCAAAAAAAGCCCCAGCAAGATAATCATATAAGACCTTACACTGAAGGAAAGAATTTCTGAGAAGTCTTTAAAGTTGTCGGACTTTTCTTTCAGTGCTTGTAATATTGACATCCAGTGTATCTACTTTTTTGGTTAGCCGGTCAAGAATGTCATCCTGCTCTTCAATTTCTGTCTGTAGACCCAGAGCCAGGTTTTTCAGACGGCTCAGCCCATCCGACATTTCACCTGCCAATGGAGAGAAGGAGAAGGAAGGGTCAAACAGTAGGAATTACAAGAGATAGGTGCCATTTAAATGTATACTGTCAAATTGCACTCAAAAACCTTAAACAAAAAAAATCAGTGAAAAAACTAATTATTCCTCCACAATATTTGCAATACAAATGTTACAAGACTAGTAGTACATTACTACTAGAAAAAGTGACTAATCTCTTTTGTTGCTCAAAGTGTGAATGTAGTAAACTACAAGACATTAAATTTAGTTATCATTTATTCTTTATAAACTAAACATATTTTTCAAGTGTAAAATATTTAAACATGTTAACTTTCTTCCTTTAAAGATGAATCTATTTTGCATGCCTCTGTACATCTGACACTTGAACATGAGCAGGCTCAGTTTATTGTGAAAAAGATCAAAACACACAGAAATAAAATAGTTACTTCTATAAAGCTCCAATGCTTGCAGTAAACCTAATTTCCATATCCAGCTTTTTAGAGTATTTCTTTTCATAAGGTACAAAAGTGTATGTGTGTCTGTGTGTGTGCGCCCCCATATGCTAGAATGTTTTCTTTGAAGTACTGTATTTGCAGAAAAGAAGTTTACCGCACAATTGGTTACCACAAATGTTTTAAAAACTAACAAGTATAAAGCTCCAATGCTTGCAGTAAACCTAATTTCCATATCCAGCTTTTTAGAGTATTTCTTTTCATAAGGTACAAAAGTGTATGTGTGTCTGTGTGTGTGCGCCCCCATATGCTAGAATGTTTTCTTTGAAGTACTGTATTTGCAGAAAAGAAGTTTACCGCACAATTGGTTACCACAAATGTTTTAAAAACTAACAAGTACAAAGTGGGTTGAGAATAGAATTCTTTGTGTATTTGTTTTCACCCATACCACTC